AAAAAACTTGCTTTAAAAATTGTGTATGCCAGATTCACGCAGCATTAGACATGTGGCAAAAAGGCAAATAAAAAATTGTTCCGAGCATCCTTTCAATAGTTCTAGAGTTCCTGAAAAGGAAACAAAAAGTTCTGCAAAATTACGCCGAATTTTTTTTTTCGAAAACGACGAAAAGTTGAATGTTTGAATAAAATAACAATTAGAAATATGTTCTGAGTAGCTTTTCAAAAGTTCTAGGGTTCCTGAGAAGGAAAAAGAAACTTCTGCAAACTGACGCCGAAAAAACATTTTTTTCGAAAAAAGTCGGAAAAGGGAAATTTTTGAAAAAAAAAATACAAATTTAGACTGTTCTGAGTAGCTTTTCAAAAGTTCTAGAGCTCCTGAGAAGGAAAAATCGGCAAAATTACGCTGATAAAACATTTTTTTCCAAAAATGCGAAAAAGATTATTTTGGGAAAAAAACAAATAAAAATTAAAACTGGTTAAAAAGTAAAACTTGGTCTTATCCAAGCTCTTGAAAAGGAAAGAGAAAGTTCTTTAAAATGGCGCAAAAAAAATGTTTTTCGAAAAAGTCGAAAAAGTTAACTTTTTGAAAAAAATATAAATTAAAAGTGTTCTGAGTAGCTTTTCAAAATTACGCCGGAAAAAACATTTTTTTCCAAAAAGTGGGAAAAGTTAAATTAAAAAAAAAGAAATTTAAAAATAAAAACTGTTCTGAGTAGCTCTTCAGAAGTTCTAGAGTTTCTGACCAGGAAAAAGAAAGTTCTGCAAAATGACGCCGAAAAAATATTTTTTCCAAAAATCAAAAAAGTTAAAATTTTGAAGAAAAATAAAAATTAAAAGCTTCTGAGTAGCTTTTCAATAGTTCTAGAGTTCCTGAAAAGGAAAAAGAATGTTCTGCAAAATGACGCCGAAAAAAGATTTTTTTCCAAAAACGTCAAAAAAGTTAAATTTTTGAAGAAAAATAAAAATTAAACCTCTTCTGAGTAGCATTTCGAAATTTCTAGATTTCCGTAGAAGGAAAAAGAAAGTTATGCAAAATTACGCCGAAAGATTGTTTACAAAAGTCGAAATTTCAAATTTTTAAATTATTGCGCCGTATGAATAAAAAATAAGCAATTGTTTTTTCTTAAAATTTCTTACACTTTACTCAATTTATTCAAACAAAATTGAAGTAAAAGGTATGCAATTTTAAGAAAAAGCAATTGCTTTGTTTTTATTCATTCGGCCCATTGTTGCTTTTCCACAATAAATTTTCGTTAAAAAACGGCCTCGAGCTCAATAAAAATTGTTGAATATAATTGTTATAAGGCCAAAAAATAACAAAAAACAAAAAAGTCGAAAAAGTTAAATGTTTGGAACAGTGTTGCCACTTTATGAGTAATTCCTCAAAACGTGAGGAATTTCGGGTGCGCTTAAGTATTTTTTGAGGATTTTTATTTTGAGGAATTTTCTCAAGATATGTTTGCTGATAACAAAAGCAACCATGTTTTACACAAGAGATTCGTTAAATCGCTCTTCAAATTTTTGAACAATAAAGCTTTCCGAAGTTTTATAAAGAGCGAAATACACTATACAAGCGGCTTGTCAAACATTATTTCCCCATTTCGCCATACACCATGCAAACATGACTCGTTCAAGCAAAGGATTTTAGTTTTCTTCCGGTTCACAATGTAAAAGGGTTTGGTTTTCGTCGATTTTTCTCTCTTGCGCTCTCATTCGGTAAAAATTCCGTTGCGAATGCGGCGATTTTATCATACACAATGTATGCGGTTTGATCAAATCTCAATATCGCGGCCAGAAAATAAAAAAAATTTATTTTTGTGCATATTTCCCCTTAAACGGCTTGTCAAACCTTCAAACACCCCCATACACAACATAAATAGCTTTAAGGAAAGGAATATTTCGCTTGGTTTGTCAAGCCACTTGTGTGGTGTTTTTCGCTCTTAAGCACATTTGCATTTGCTGCTAAATATTCAAAATGTTATCGATAATTTTTTTTATTCCATCGTTATATTTTCAACTTACGTATTTTGAACTTGCAAAATCTCGGTAACGAATGCAAAGAACACGCATTGTTCGATCGTAAAGATATTCATATTGATTCTTCATTAGATTAGGTATCGTATCGAAATTCGAAGCTCCAAGCATAAAACGAAAACGAGCTATAAGCATGGTAACGTTTGCATGCTATGACGTAGTTCATATATTTAATTAATTAATTTAAAGTTTTGTCTACATAAAATTATATTATTTATCTCAGTTTGATGTTTTGAATTATATTCGTTTATTTTTTAGTGTGAGTGTACTGCTTGTTATTGCAAGTTGTATTGCTTTATATCCTCATTGGCTAATGATACAACAGGCCCAAGGACATATACCGCTGATAGCTGAGGTAAATAGATGCTTATTTACATACAAACATACATACACACATATTTACATGTGTACGTTTTTATTTAAAAGTAATCAAAATTATTCTTTAGTTTTATAGTTGAGATGAAGTAAGTTAGAATATCTGCGTTTGCACCATCTCTGATTAAATCTAACTATCAGTTAAACATCACTATCACTATCATATATAGCATACAACATTTGGTGGATAAAGCTGTCGACAGGAGTTTTTACCTTCGGTTAGTATTAATCATAAATGGTGCAAACGTCCCTAAGAAGTATAATATGTTTATTAAAATACAACATGCCATCTTAAAGCATACTCTATTATAGAGAGCCTAGCCGGTTAAAATATGGATTTAGTAAAGATGATAAATTCGCAAATATTCGGTTTTTAAAGCGCAAGATGGGCACTACGTTTTACAGGATTTTATTTAAGCTACTCTGACTATAGGTATTAACAGTCATGTGAAAAATAAGAGAGGCATTACATGTTGACCAGTTTTGGCAATTTTTCCTTTGTTTACTTAAAGTGGCTCAGAGTGGATTTTTGATATTTTTTTGCGGATGGCATTATTTTTTTATAAATAAAATGTTCAACATATTTTGTATGGAATAAAGTGAATGACACCGTCAGCAGAAAAAAATATCAAATTCAACACGATTTTTTAGACACTTAAAACTTGCACTTTATAAAGCTAGAATGGGCTATAAAACTGCATACATAGAATTTTTTTAAGAATTCGTTATAAAAAGTTTGTTGTTGTTGTAAAAATTTGTTGAATTTTTCTACAAACTTTGAAACTTAGACCTACATGGTTTTAGTTAGATAATGGGCTGTATTTTTATAAAAAAAAAATAATAATCATTAAACAAACAAAAAGAAGGACAAAACTGGTCCCTGTTATTTTTCACATTACTATATACATTAGGCGCCAAATGAAAGTGTAAACCTTGTTCTAATATAATATTCACAACTATTTTCATGAAAATTTTTTTGCATTAAATCAAAGTTTCACACTTTATATAAAGTTCACAAAAATTCAAAAATTTGTATCAAAATTTTCAGCTCTTTTTCAGAATTTCTAGAAAAATTTCGAGTATGCAGCTTTGTATCCCACTCAGTCTCATGGAGTGTAAGTTTCACCCGGCTAAAAACTCGCTTTGATTTTTTGGAATTTTTTTTTAGACTGATTTTGTGTTTTTTTTATAACAAGTGCAATTTACAAAACCTGGCGTTGATTTTTTGAAATTTCGTTATCAACTGTCTCCCGCATTTTATTTCATAAGATATTCATATTATTATATGGAAAAAAGTTCAAAAATCTGTAAAAAAAAAAAAATTCTCAAAAATCAACGGGATTTTTTAGTCGGTTGAAATTTGAACAACTTTAGACTAAAATTCAACTAGAAAACTGCATGCACAAAAATTTTTCAAAAATTCTGAATAAAAAGTTGAAAATTTTGTGAACTTTATATTTATATACTATATTTTCATAAATATTTTTTTTGGATATAATAAAATACGCTCCTTCTTTCCGAATTTTCATAAGCTAGTCTAGTCCAGTAACCGAGTATAATAAAGCACGTCTGTCGTTTATTTTCTGTGCACTTGTTCAGCCATCACCGTCATACGAAAGACATTTCGTTTTTGAATTAACGAAAAATACACACGCGATTCAATAGCCAATAGTACGAAGATTAATTATCTTTTTGATTTTTTGCTCCAGGCAATTCAGGCCATACGGTCGCCGTTACATATGTTACCGGCCAAACCCGATCTTAGGACAAACTAGTTTTTCCTAGGCTAAACTAGTTTTTCGCAGCTCCGATACATCCGTCCAACGCGGAAACTAGTTGGACGCAACAATATAGTTGACTGCGTACCTGTAGTTGTACTGAAGGCCGCCTACGCGAAAAGGTGGTCTACGCAAAAATACTGTGGAGCCTGAACTAGTTTAGCCTAGGCAAAACTAGTTTTTCCTAAGATCGGGTTTGGCCGGTAACATATATATCATTACTAATACAACATTTTTGTTTTTTCATACTCCATTGCATGCTTAATAAATAAGCCCCCTTAAACAGAAATTCGATTTCATTTTTCATGCTCGCGTAAGCCGCTTTAAAATTTAGGCCTCTTTTCCCGCCAGTAGAGTGGTATTACCCCTTAAAGCAAATTCTCAAAAAAATTGTTATGAAAGATTAAGGGCACATACACGTAAAACTTTTTGTATTATGAGCATTTGTCACTTTTACTACATTCGTTAATATGTATGTCCCAACCGTAAACCGCTTCTCGCTTCATTGCAGACTGTTACCACTACACTACAAACAACGACCGCCATCGTCAAATTGATTTACTATATTTTCATGCAGCATAGATTTTCGGCCATTCTGCATAAAGCTGAAACTCACGAGCTACTCCAATGCCTTGAAATATTTAAGACGGGTCAGTATGCAGTAAAAATAAAAATTAAAAACAAGAAACGTCTATTGTCCATATACATACATATAACTACTTAATTAACTTCATTACATAGTGCATACGTGCTGACACATAAAACTTTATTTTGCAGATATGCCTGTCAAAATGAAGCTGAAGCAAGAAATTAATGCAATTATGGTTACAACATGGTTGGAATCAAGGCGACAGCTTATATACTGTGTGATATTAATTGTATGCATACTTTCTAACTACTTTTTCTATGCGATTTTTATAAATTTATATCATCAAATACAAGGCACACCGGACTACGTTTATATTTTGCGTAAATATTTAAATACACAAAATAAATTATTAAGTATCTATGTACATGAGACGGTACCCCCTTACAAGCGAACAAAAAAAAAAATTCGCCATACTCCCACTCTTCTGAGCCGAAAGTATTTTTGGCAAAGCAATTTCGAAAACAAATTTTTTTTGTCGAACCTATGATCGTTTTTTTGCATTTTTCGGTGAGATCTATTTTCGGAAATACATTTTTTTTAATAGTTCCACTGGAATTATTAAAATATATACTTCATTAGCAAAAGTTTAAATGTTTTGGAGGACTTTAATTTACTGCCATTAGGGTCGTACATAAGGTTAATAATAACTGTCATCTGGTCAACGAGCTTTGGAACAAAAAAAAATGTATCTTCGATATGACGAAAAATTTAAAAAAACCCCTACTTTCAGCCAAAAAATAAACGAAAATATTTTGTTCCAAATTGCCTTGCAAAAATATTTTAGACTGAGAGGTGTACAGCGCAATTTCTTTTCTGTTATGGTCTAATATACATAATTATTTATATACTAGGGTGATTGACTCGGTTTATCCAAAACGGTTTCCAAAGGTTTTTTGAATATGTATAGACAGTTTTTTGACATCTTGATTTTTCGAATATCGAATAAACTTGATTTTTTATCGAAAAAACCGGTTTTTTATCTCATACCTCTTTTTATTGACCTCTCAATAAAAGCTTTGAGTTTTTCGAAGTTTTCAAGGCTTTTTCCAGTTTAAGGGAAATTCCCAAATAGTTCTAAAATTATATCCTAGGCTAATTGGGGATGGATAGTATATCATTTTTGCCATCTGCCACAAACGGAGAAGCTTTTTTATGTCAGAAGTACACTTGCCATTGGCTCCCAAGGGACGACCGCTATTTGAAAAAAAAGTTTTTTTGATGTCGTTGGGACCAGACATTGACCCATGGACCTCCGGAGTGGCAGTAGACACCTCTAAGCACTACTCAAAATCGAAAAAATACCATAAAGTATTTAACAAGGTTAAAATTAGACCAAATGTGAATTTTCCCACTGATTTTTATTTGTTTTACAACTACTAAAAAATCTTTGAACTTATTTTGCTTTGCTCTTTTCTAAACAATAGCTTTATTTACTGTTAATACTTTTATTGTAATTTTTGGTCATGGCTTCATGCCAACATAAAAACTGTGGGAAATAAAACCGGTTTATTTGGTTTTTTTCTTAATTTCAATAACGGGAACCGGATTTTTTTATTTCCAATAACTCGAAACCCGGTTTTAGAAAAAGGCGAATAATTGAACACCCTATTATAAACATATTTTGTATCGGCTCCTTTATTTAGCATTTTCTACTCCATAGCCTTCACTGGTTATCCGATGTTCCTCGACAAGGGTATGAACTCTTTCTACTATGCACTCGATATGTTTTTGGGCGCTTGTTCTCTTCATGTGGCTGGCATGTGTGAGTCAATGGAATTTTTAATTCGTGAGATACCATACAATTGGTCTGTAATTGACAGGTGCCATCAGCTTCAATTGTGCCTTTATGGTCTTCTGTAAGCATGCATGTGGCATTATACGGGTATTAAGCTTAATGTTACAACATTCCACCTCTCCACTGGTGCCAGCTGAACGACGCGTTGAGTATTTGCGTTATTGTATAATTCAACATCAGCGTATAGTTAAGTAAGTATGTACATACAAACATATACATATGTAGTAAGGGTACTCATTTAAAAGCGCAAAACTCTCGTAAACTGTGGGCAAACTGTGCAATTTTAAATCCTCGCAAATGAAATGTCAAAATTTATATGAAAAGTCATTTGCACAACAAATTAAACTTTGCGCGCCGATTTTGTAAGTGTCAGCCGTTTTGTTTATTTTAATTTTGATTTGTGCTCAACGCTTTTCAGTAATGATTGCGGTACAACTTAAATATTTACTTAAATTTGAGTTTCAACTTTTTCAATTAAGTATTGTCAAATAATTAAATGTCAGAAATTGCACAAAATATTAAACTTTCCTCATGAAACACATTGCGAAAAGTTGCCTATTGCCCAATTATGAAACTTAAGCGTATAGATGAGTACCCTTAGAGTATGTTTTTAACCTTCCGTCTGTGTATTGAGTTTATCTCAAAAAATGTTCAATGTTCACGGATCAAAAAATATTTAAAATTTGTATGCTGCTTTCAGTTTGGGATTCCCCGAACTCTCCACTAAATTTTATCCAAAGAAAGCGTAATTAACATGTTCACACACTCACTCATGAAACTTCACACCAATAATATTAGTAGGATCTCATTTAATGTGTCAATTAAATTTTGTTTAAATTTCTTGGCTGGAGGCGACGACCCTCATCAAAATCATTTTCGAAATAAAAACAGCTTACTTAAAATCTCTTCCTCTTAATACCCACATTAAAATATTTTATTAAACTTTATTATTTTATTTAACTTTTCAATTGAGTGATTTATTCCAAATGTTCCCAACCTTATTTTCTCGTAAAACAATTTCAAAATTTTACTGGTTATTCTGATGATCTGAGAGCGCTGATTATTAAATAACTTGAGTTTAATTATTTAACAGGTGGCAACTCTTTACGAAAAATAAAACCTTATTGCACATCTATAGCCTATCTATCGCCTATTATATATGTATGTAGATATCGAGCTGCCACTAGATACGCACAAAATACACCAATTTAATTTCAATGGATTTCCTGCAATCACATTACAAAATTATGCTTATAGAGAGTGTTTGCAAGAAAAAACATTTTATATGGTAATTTTTAACACTGATTTAAATCCAAAATACTTGCTTATTTTGTTAAATAAAAAAAACTGGAAAACTTTGCTCAATAAACCTCCCAATATGATTTTCGCTGCTGTGGCAATATTGGGGGATGTTATAAAAATGAACCTTTTCGCTATGAAACGAGAAAAAGAGTTTCGTATCATATTATCTTTGACTGAGTTATATTAAAGATACATAAACTAGGTTGAAGAGCGCTATTTCCCTTTTAAACTCACAAAGGAAGGATTTTAGTGAGCAGGAAGGTGAAAATTGTATTCCTCAGTGAGGAAAACGGTTTTTTTAAGCTCATGGACCATAAAAACGACGAAAAATTTGCAAAATTATTTTTTCGTAATACCTGTTAGGATTGCATGAGAAGCATAGCTCCCAAAATATTGTTGCCAAGAAATCTTAAAATAAGAATCTTAAACCTTCAAAAGCTTTTTTAAAGTCTCAACACGGTCATTGTTTCATCACTGACAACTTGTGTACCCCCAATTTTTTTTTCACGCCACGACATGGGTCTACCATGTCTCCCGTTGACTCTTGTCGGTCCACTTGGACCACTTTGGGAATCACTGATTTAAACTATTGACGAAAAGGTCCTATGAGCTTTTGGAACTTTAGAGTACCTTAAAATTAGATTTTTGCATTTTAAGGCCTTTTTCCAGCTCTCAAGAAAAACGAAAAATTCATATAAAATGACGCACAAGAAATTTTGAACTCAAAGAGAAGTATCTTTTTTTCAATTGTTTGCAGTTAATAAACTATTTGTCGAAGAAAATCAGTTAAGGTATCAAAATGTGCGTAATTACTTTAGTATAAACTTTTTGGTGTTTCCATTCTCAAATTTTTACAGCGTATTCCATGAAGTTTGACAACTGTTCAGGTTGCAAAAAAATAAAATAAAAATCAAACATGATGAAGTTAATAAAAATAAAAAATAAAAAAATGCGATTTTTTAATACAAAAATATTTTTATTTTAATATATCTCTTACTCTCGAAGAAAGCCGAGGTAATTACGCGCATTCCAACAAATAGTTTATTAACTGCAAATAATTAAATTAAGATACTTCTCCGTGAATATCATGACAAAATAAAAAAATAGGTGTTTTCTTTCTTTCGATAAAGAATGTGAAAAAAAAACATTTCACCCCAAAAAAAATCGAGGTGTAAATATTGTATGGAATGCCCCATAGGTATGTATATATATTTTTTTTAATTTTTAAACATCTGGGATAGGAAACTACCCCTTGACAGAGACGGAAGGTTATTACTTCAATATATGGACACATCTACTTTATGTGTCCGCAGTACTCGGCCAGTATACCTAATACAGAATATTCTCATATTCTCATATTTGTATATATGTATTTATGTAAAATTTTTACAATTTTACAGCTTTTTAGATGAAGTCAATCAGCTCTTCAAGCATATAATTCTCTCACAATTTTTTCATAGCATGGCCATTTATGGTTTAGTACTCTACGAAATCAATTTTTCTTTAGTAAGTATCGTTTGATATCATAAATGATGTACTATATTTGTATATACATATGTAAATACGTATCTATAAATGCATACATATGTACATATACGAATATTTTATTTTTCAGGAATCAAGTAAAGTAACGCTTATTCGCATGATTTTTTACATTTGTGCTGCTTTTAGCGGAGATTGTATGCTTTACGTGAATGGTCAATTCTTAGTTACAGAGGTAAAATAAATTTAAATTCTAATTTTATACTTTTGTGTACAAAAAATGCATTTAGAAATAAAAATATTATTTTCCACAACATCTTTTCAGCTCGAAGCCATACCGCTATCCTGCTACTGCTGCGACTGGTACAATGAGTCCGCGGAATTTAAGAAAACTTTACAAATGATAATTATGCGTTCCAATAAAGAGTTCTGTTTCCAAATATCCTGGTTCGGCGTACTGTCCTTGGTCACATTGATGGGGGTAAGTTGATAGATTGTCCGAAAAACACAAATTTGTTATTTTTTTTAACATACCTCTTCATTTTATTGCTTTTGTCTTAAAAGCTAACTTGTACTCAAAATTACACAGGTTTGCGAAATTTATATATTTTGTTTCCCCCCTTCAATAATTATGTTCTCTTTTTGAATATTTAGGCATGTTAAATAAAAATACACCTTTTTTTTTTTTCTAGCACTACGACATTTTTTTATTGATGACATGTATATTTCAGAATTTTTAACGATTTGCATGAAAAGCCAAAAATTAATTAATTCAGAATTGAATTTTCGCTTGAAAACCAACCCTAAGAAAATTGATAAAAGTTATTTTCTTGGCATTACAGCGCTTTACTGGCGGTAACTTCAAAACTACTTAAGTTTTTCTGACTTAGTCTATTTATTGGGTATTTTTAACTAATACTGTTAGTTTTTAAGTAAAAATTTAACTCCGAATTAATTAATTTGGCTATAGTTCGAGGAAAACATCCCTACGAAAAAATTTATCAACTAGGAAGCGCTGGATTCCAATTATATATACTTATACATATATATTTTGAAAGCCATTTTTCTGCCGTTCGGCTGTACCGATTTTTTTTTTTTTTTTGGAAATCTTGGACACCTATTCCAGTCTTTTCAAGGATGGTTATAGGCTAAAAAAAATTCGATATAGAAAGAGAGCGCGGCACCTCCCACCTTTGGAAGTATTCATGGTAGAGTGCTCGAACAGAGTATTGAGATATATGAAAGTGGGACTATTTCAAAAGGGGGCGTGGTATGTGTTTGTGGGGGTCTCTGAATAATTTCAGCTCAGAATTTGATCCGACATGTGGAACTGTATTCGATTTCTTAATAAACATTTTATTTACATTTCGAAATTGTCACCAGCTGCACTATTATTTTCAATTCAAGGACAGCCTCACCATCGAAACGGATCATTGTTGCCGCCAGAGAGTGAAAGGAAAAAGTTCTTCAAACTTATTTCGTTATTCGATTAAACGTGCAGATCACTGGAGGAAATTCCAAGAACTTCTTCGCGAACATAATTAAGGTATTTAAGGCAGGCTTGGAATTATTCCTTCCGACGTGAACGTGAATTTCTGCTAAAAAGATGGACTAAAATGTTTCAATAAAAAAACTAATTTTGACCGGGGCGAAGCTCGCCGGGTTTCATAGTTTGCTATAAAAGTGGAATTTTATAATTTAATGTTCATCATACGTCCTGTCAGACCAGTTAAAAAATGTTCTACAATTTCCTTTAATTTATTTTTTCGATGTACTTGCCTGTCGTCCTATTAAAAATTTAAAGATGCACATTTACTAGATATGCGTTTGAATATGAGAAATATGTCGAAATTTTCGCATTTCCCCAAAGTTTTCATGAACGAGTTGGTAGCCTTAATTCAACTTTTTAACTTAAACTTCAACAAAAATTCGGCCATAAAACTTGTTATACATATGTGTATGTTATTCACATTCATTCAACAAGTTTTCATCAAAATTTCAACTTTTTATTCTGAATCTTTAAAATATTTTTGGGTATTTTATAGCCCATACAATTTTAGTTCAATGAAGTGTAACTTTCAAACGGCTAAAAATTTCCGTTGATTTTGAATTTTTTGGTGAGGGATTTTTGCACTTTTTTCATATAAGTATGAATTTCTTATGAATTAAAACTCGGAAGACCGTTAACAACAAAATTTCCAAAAAAATTAACACTTTGAACTTTGATTTACGGGATGGGTGAGCCCAAGATATTGACCGAAAATTTTCATCTTTCGTAAAGTCTTTTTTTTAGAGCACAAGAGCCATATTTTTGCTATTACCGATAAAAATTCTAGAAAAATTGGGTTTTCAGCCAACCCTTACACATGGGGTTTGTCATATATATATATTTTTAGTCACTGCCCTCAACTTATAACTCTTTTATTATACTACACAATGGTTGTGTGGGTAAACTGAACAAGGTGTGATCTTATTAAGGGGTTCCAGAGAAAATTTCAAATTTGTTATTTGTTACAATGATCTAAGAAGAAAAATACATTTTGAATTACGAATATTTGTTTAATATGTACTTTGTTTCAATTTTTTTTATTGGAACCGCATGCACAGTTAATTTCAGAGTTAAGACCATTTTTTCATAAATTATTACTTTTATGGTAGTGTAAAAATTATGACGTAGGATTTTAATATTTTGAAAGCCAGTATCAAAAAACGTGTAATCTAATGCTAGAATTCCACTAGGCATTGAAAAGACAAAAAATCTATGCCATTTAAAAAATGTTATGTGGAAACGAACCTAATGCCCCTTAACGCGAGTTTCTCGCGCGTAAACAAATTCAACCGAATCTTTTTCATTCGCCCGTAGTGAATACACAGAAGTGAAAAGTGAGCGATTTCGTGCGAAAATTAAACTCATGACAAGGCTGAGTGACTATTTTTGTGAAAGCAGGGATGGTAGTCATTATGAGTAAAAGAATTTAAATCAGCATGCAATCATTACTAGTATCGTCCCGTTTTCTAAATTCAACCACCCCACCCAAGCCGGAAAATGTAATGTATTACCAGTGGGAATATGTAATGTATAGTAATCGAAAATGCAATTTTTCTTCAGGTCGATGGCGTAAGAAAGGTGGGGCATTCAATTTTGCATTACCTAGTATCGAGAAATGAATGTGATTTGATATGAAACTTTTGCGACTTTTTGGATACATTAGAATGCTGATTACATATTAAACAGTAATAGAATCTAAAACTCAAAAGAAATACATTACATTATTTATTACGCATGTAATGCTTTACTACTTTTCCGACTGGGTAATTTAGTTCGTTCGTTTCGCCACACGCTTACTGTTGCCGAACCGATAGTGGCTTTTAATAGGTGAAGTGATATCTTTTCTGTTAAATTATTGTATAATTCAAAGGAATAGTAGGGAGGAATAGATTTGTATGGGATTTCGTTAGCGTATTAATACATACATTTTATGATTTTTATTTTTTCGCTGAGAGATAATAATTATTATTGAGTTTAATTTTTCCACTTAAAAATAATGATTGTCTAAAAATCATTTAATACCTAGTGAAAATCCGGCATAAGATAAAAAGTAAATATTTTTAATGTTGTGTTAACATCTTGTCTCTATTTCCAGATCTTCAAAGCTAGTGGTTCATATTTTGTACTTATTCGAGATATTGCAGATGCTGACGCCTAAGTACAGAATTAGATAAAATATAAGAAGACAAATTAAAAATAAAAAAAATAAAAAATTTAATTAAATAGCACTAAGCTAATAAATGACCGACTAATTAAATTAAATTAAATTTAAGGAAATAATGATAAAACGAAAAAAAATTAAATACTATTTTCTAACTATTTAAAAGAGGCTATGAATGTGAGTACATAAACGCTACAAAAAATTTTATTACTAATACAATGTAGATTTTCTCGCATTTATAGTTATTTACGTATTGTATAATTTAGTTATATGGCTATTGTTTTATTAGAGAAGAGCATTCTACACCCTTAAAATAGAGAAAAATTTTTAAATCGTCTTGTATTAAGAAAGTATTTGAAGAGAAGCAAACAAAAAAAGGGGCTTTCCATACCAAAATGGGCGTGGTTCACACTTCATGCGTTTGATTTGTTTGAAATTTTTAAGGTTGATGGACAAACATAAGTACCAAATGAATATAAAATTTGAGCTTGATCATTACATTTTTAAAAACTTTCCAGCAAAAAAACAAAAACAAATCGATTTAATAGTTTTCCAAATATCTCGAGATCGGGGCGAGGAAAAAACTTGAAAAAATCACACATACACACATTAAAACTCTCTACGAAAAGAAACATTTAAATTTTTTTTTTTAGTTTTTCACATACAAATTTTTTGATAAAAAACTTCGTTTTTGTAAATATGCCATCTAAAAAAAAATATAAAAAAATATCAATGGTAGCTCTTATTTTTTTCGAGCATGCAGTTTTGTAGCCCATGGAGTTTTAGCATGATAAAGTACAAGTTTTAAGTGATCGCAAAACTGGCGCAGAAAAAAAGTGCCAAAAGCCGTCAGCATAAAAAATATTAAAATTCAACGCAATTTTGCAGTAGCTTAAAACTTGCACTTTATTATTGAAATGAAATGGTCTAAATTTTTTACAGATCACACTTTTTCTGATTCCGGACTAAGAATTTCTCTAACACCGCAGATTTTTGATTGCTAAAAACACAGTGTTTGACAAATTTGAGTTTATGTTGCATAGAAATTACATTTTTTTTTTTCACAGAAAGCTAGTCAGGGTATATCAACATATAAATCTTGCCCACATATCTTCAGGATTTTTGGGAAGCTTAGTCATCTGGTAGGCTGAACATATTCTCCTCATCAAGCTTATTAATTTTATTATAAAATCTCTAAAAATATAAATTTTTACTTACATCTCTATATCTTGTGTATGTATAATACTAAAATTTTTAAATGCAATATCGAAATGCGGATACATGTTGGCAAGCACAATGGCAGTCATGCCGATAGTAGATCTAAAGTTTAGAAGGAATTAATTTTATCATGCTCTAAAATATTTACATACGTATCGAATCCAAAAAATACAAATATTGAGCAGAAATTACCGCTACCTCTTCTTCTATGTTGTGTCAGGATTTCAACGCTGTATCGATTACCAGTATCTCACTATTTAGAACAGAATATGTATTAATTTTTACTATGGGAGTATATGTAACTTCAAAACTCTAAAGCTGTTTTTTTCGAGTGTTCCTGTTTTGAGTTGTGACACTGTTGAATTAAATGAGCAATATGTACATCTAAGAGGTTTTTGAAATATTTATATGCCACTTTAAGCATTATAAGTACTTTACAATTACATATTTAGGGTATTCACAAGACGTCGTAAACGTCGCAATGTCTTAAAGTCGTAAATTTTTTCATGAAAAATAATGGTTGAAACGGTTTAAAGGGACTCTGAGGGTATAATAAAAGCTT